CTCGCTGCCCCATTGTCCTGTCCCAGTTCCTGCCCGGTGTCCTCGCAGGCCCAGCTGCTGCTGGTGCTGGGGACACTCTGTGTGACAGACAGGGAGCGGTGGCAGAGGTTCCTGTGGCACCTGAGCCCAGCCCAGCTGCAGAGTGCCCTGGCAGCAGCAGCCGGGCTCTGTCCCTGTCCCCAGCACTGCTTCTGCCCCAGGGTGCTGCTGGCCCTGCTCTGTGGGCCGGTGGGAGCCACATCACTGAAGTGGGGGTGGAGCAGGGCTGGAAACTTCAATCAGCGCTGCTGCTGCAGCCCGGGGATTGTGCAACACTCCCAGCTGCCATCTTTGTGTGCAGAGAGAGGAGCAGCCCTGCTCGGAGGGGACACTGCACAGCTTCTCTTGCTCTTTCAGCTCCTTGGCCTTGATTCTTTTGAGGTTTTTTTAATTTTTTTTTTCCTTCCCCCACCAAGTCCAGTTCCCTGAACTGGCCTCATGCTTGGCTGCCTCGGTGCTGACAAAAGGGGAGGCAGGGATGGGAGGCAGGGTTGCTTTTTGCTTCGGTCACATCCCAGTGACAGTCACTGAGTGTGTCCATCTGCATCCTGCTCTCAAAGAGCTGATGGCCTAAATGGCAAAAGGAGAGATTGGTTATCTCCAACAGCTGCTGCTTAGATCCTGTTCAGTTAATTTTAAGGGATTTTTTAAGGGAAGACTTGCAGATGATCAGGAATGAGTGATGTAGGATTGGAGCTGTGGGTCAGATGCAAGAGCTGTGCTCTGTTAGCTTGAAAATATTCATAAAATCCCACCATGGTTTGGATTGGAAGGGACCTTAACTATAATCCAGTGCCACCCCTGCCATGGCAAGGACCCCTCCCACTGTCCCAGGCTGCTCCCAGCCCTGCCCAGCCTGGCCCTGGGCACTGCCAGGGCTCCTCTGGGCACTCTGTTCTCTCTGCTCTCCCCTTCCATCTTGGAATTTCCCTAAACAGCCAGATCTGCTTCAATGTGCCAACAGACCTGATAATGGAACTGTGAAATTATTCTCCTTTGCTCCTGAACCCTTCCCAAGGGTTTTAATACCATTTTTGACACATTTCCCCCCTTCTTACAGTGAAATAATGAAAATCTTGCCAATATTTTGTTGACAGTGTCAACAGGGCAGGGATTGTGCCTCTCTGTGCCTGTCTCAAGGTTTTTAGGGTATTAACCCTTCCTGTGTCAAATTATTTATCAGTGGCAATGTGTGATTCTTCAGCATCAGGAGTAGTAAGTGGATTCCTAGGAATGAAAAAGTGAAACTGAAATGCTGATTTCCAGGGAATTACTTCTAAAAATGCGAGATATTACAGTACTTGAAGAATCTTTAAACTAGAACTAGAATCTTTAAACTGAGTACCAAAAAATCTCATTTTAGGGGATTTTAGGAGCTGCTTGGGGGCAGAGGGAGTTGCTGTGGCCTCTTCTGCCCTCTGGTGGTTCTGAAAGATATTGCAGGTGATTGCTGCCAGTATCAGATTTGTGATTAAAATTTCCCAGTCTTACCAAAAATTCCTTCCTGGATGCTGCTGTTAGCAGTAATTAATTTACTTTTCACTCACTCTTGCTGCACAGGATGCTCCCGTTGTTTCTGCCAGGTTCTGACACACAAATTTGGGTCACAAGGGTTGAGTTGATCTCTGTTATGTTGGAGCCAGTGGATCACTCAAACTGCTGTAGAGACAGCTGGGTTTAGGATATAATAATAATTTAGAATTAATTTTGGAGTCATGTGAGTTATCTGGGATGGACATCTCCATGTCTGTGAGGAAAGGGGTAGAGAACTGGGATTGATTGGAGAAGTGTTGGGGTCACCTCTTTGTGGCCTTCCAGTGCCTGAAGGAGCCTGCAGGAAAAATAAACTGATTTTAAGGGATGGACAGGACCCAGGGAATGGCTCCCACTGCCAGAGGGCAGGGCTGGGTGGGACATTGGGAATCAGGAATTGTGGAATCCATGCCTGGAATGGAATTCCCAGAGCAGCCCCTGGATCCCTGGCAGTGCCCAAGGCCAGGCTGGGCAGGGCTGGGAGCAGCCTGGGATGATGATTTGGATTAAATCATCTTTAAGGTCCTTTCCAACCCAAACCACTCCTTGACTCTGCTCCATGGTCAGTGATCAGTCTGAGGTTCAAGGGAACCTTGGTGGGTACAATAAATACCATTTTTAAGAGGGTTTGGGTAGGTTTGGGTTCTGTACTGCTCATCTGTCACACTTCAAAGCAAGGGTTTTCATTTAACTGTTTATCATCATTTGGGGGGTTTGAACCTCTTGTGTGAAGGGGTTTGATGTTGCTCCCAGGATTGCTGAGCTATATCCTGCCAGATTCCATAAATGTTGTTTTTATTCACATCACATTTTGGTTTTTTTTCTGTAACCCCAAGAACTGTGTTCAGTGATGCTCCTGCCTCACAGTGCTTTGTGCTCTGGTTTTCTGGATTAGAAAGATTAAGATTCTTTTTCTTTTGTTTCCCTTTTATGGGGGGTTAAGTCTGTCCAGTCCAGCCCTTCCAACTCCAGCTCCAGCTCCGACTCCAGCTCTGACTCTGATTTCGAGCCATCTCAGAACCACAGTCAAGGTGTGTTCCCAGCACAGTTTGTTCAAACCTTCCTTGTGGAACCTTAAAAAGCTCAGGAGAATTAAATGTGCTTTTCCAGCACTATAATAATACAGTTTCTTGCATGCAGCCATGTGTTGGAGTTGTGATGCTTCAGCAAGAAAAGGCAATAATGTTATAATATCATGAACAAGTATTTTTCTTCTCTTGGCAGCTAATTTATGAGTAGGGAATCCCTCTGGATTTGGTTCTTTCCCTTTTGGCTTTGGTTTCTGCCTCAGTTTATAAATGTCTTGCTGCTGCCTGATCTGTAGAATCACCAGAACAGTTCTCCTCCAATCTCATCTCTGTTTTATTAAAAATTATAAATGTGCCATTCATCATTTTGCCAGTGTGTAACAGCTCCTTTCTCAGATCCCTCCACTGATAACCCAGGGAGGGAAACTGGCAACACAGTAAATGTTCCAAATGCAGCAAATGCTGCACTGCTCCTGTCTCCAGTGACATTTAAATCAACCCTACAGGCATGAAAAATGTCCTTTTGTTCTCCTTTGGGAGGGGAGGAGCTGTAAAGTTTGTGAGCTCTGCTTTAGCTG